GGGGATGGAGTTCTTTCTAAATACAAAGATCCTGTGGTTGAATGAATGAATGAATGAATGAATGACAAAAAGAATTAATGAAAAAGAGCATTTATTAATATACTTCATTGTGACTCAGGCACTGTGCTAAGAGATATAAATACAAAAGTGAGACAGACAGTCCTTGCCCTCAAGGGGCATACATTCTAACAAGGGAAGACAATATACTTAGTAAAGTGATTGTCAAGAAAGAGTGTTTTAGTTTGGGATATCTATCTCCACAGATAGCTGGGGTTAAGAAGTGGGGTCCTAGGACAGGGGTTGCAGCTGAGTGGCTTAACTCCTTCTAGGCATGGACCCTGGAGGTCTGGTTTGCAAGGCAACCGTGGCAGTAGTTGACTGGAAACTGATCAGTCAGACCTCATAGTGCTTTGCATGTAGTAGGAACTCAAGACATAGCTGGTAAATTTAATTAGACAGCAGTCCAGAATATCTATTGCTTGGCATCATTGATGAATCAACAAGCATTTTTTAAGTGTCTGCCTCTTGTGGCACGTGCTGTGCAAAGTGCTAGTGATAGGAAGACAAATAATAGTCCCTGCTCTCAAGAGGCTTACTTTCACCTGGAGAAAACAAATGCATACATAAATGTAACCACTAGGAGGACTTTCACCAGGCTTAGTTTGTGGTCTGATGGAGGCAGATTCAGGGATGTTCTGAAGCCAGCTCTGACCAGCTGGTGGCAATGGCCAATTGTTAAAATATCAGAGTGAACATTTTTACATTAGAAATGAGCAGTGGCAGCTAGGTGGCGCAGTGGATGGAGCACTGGCCCTGAAGTCAGGAGGACCTGAGTTCATATCTGGCTTCAGACCAAACACTTGACATTTACTACCTGTGTGACCCTGGGCAAGTCACTTAACCCCAATTACATGGAAAAAAAAAAGAAATGAGCAGACAAATCAGGGCTCAAATTATGGTTTTGTTAATTTTCTAGATTTAAAAAAGGGATGGAGGAAATATTAATACAGATTGAACTTTAAAACTATGTCTTATGTGCTTTTTTTTCCCCCAGAGAGCTAGTTGTTAAAACATTTACCAGCATACCCCTGGGTAGATTGAAAACGCCTGGGTTTATAGTAATTCATTTTGGTCTTGGGAGTATACTTTTGAAACATATAAATGTCTTCTGATTATGCCCCCAGTTAGAAGGGGATCCCAGCCCTGCCAAAGAAAATTTCACTCTCTCCTGTGTGGCTCCGAGAGCTGTCCATGCCATGAGCAAAGTAAAGGTCACAAAGAGATAAAAGGAACAAGGTTAACTCCAAATATCTATGAGAAAGATCAGTCAGATGAAATCTTTAACAGGAAAAAAATTGTTGTCCTGTCCCTTGCTGCTGCCCTGCTAGCTTTTTGCCTGTCACAATTTCCCTTGTAGGTGTGAATTTGAGGAGAAATTGCTGATATTGATATCAATGCCCTATGCTGTCAACCTCCTTCCTCTCTTAAGATCTCTTGAAACTCTCACTATGATGAAAATCCTAACCTTCAATCCTGATAAGCCATTAGTTTCTTCTCTTCTTAAGTTGGGAAGAAAACAATTCCCAGGGTCTTTTGTGATGTAGGCTCCTCTCAAGGCAACCAGTTTAAGCCTTACCAGAGGGACATGTATATACACAGAATAAATAAAAAACAGAATAAGTAAAAAAAATAAAGGTAGTTTAGGGATGGAGGGTACTAGAGTTGGGATTGCGAAGGGAAGGTCATGAAAGGTTTTCTGTAGAAGGCTATGCTTGTTCATGGAATCATAGGTTCATGCTGGAACAGACTTTAGAAGTCACCTAGACTCAGTTCTCCCTAATTTTATAGGTGGGGAAACTGAGACCCAGAGAGGTTAAGTGACTTCCCTAAGATTACACAGGTAGTAACAGAGCTGGGGGATTGCACCTAAATACTGTTCCCAAATCCAGCACCCTGTACTAGGCATTGTACTCCCTACAATCAATGGATTGACACATTTTTTACTTTTGGATTAGCAATCTTGTTGTGTAGACAAAGCCAAAAACATTTGACTGCAGGGACCGTGCCAATACTAAATCACTGCCATTCACAAATGCTTCCATTCTGCAGATCATGTTTAATTTTTTTGGTTATAATTCTATGAACTTTGTTGTGAAGGTGGGTTGCTCAATAGTTCTTTCTGCCAGGTGAGGGATATATTTTAGAAAGAGAAGAATTTGGCCAGTTGACAATTTTCAACCATTAAACAAGCTGACCTCATCTATTGTCTGTAGCCAAAAGAGTTTTGCACATTTATGAAAATAGAAGAGGAAAAGTGGGATCTCTCTCTTTTCTTTTCTAGTTTGTAAGATTATAGGTTTGAGTGCTAAGGGACATAGAAGGTCACTGTAGCCACTTCCCTCATTTTACCACCATAATACAAGTTCCCATCACCACATGACTGGATTCTTGTAATAATGTCCCAATACGTTTTCTTGGCTCTACTCTCCTCCCCCTTTATCCATTCTCCAGGCTTAGTCCTGTTGATAAATAGAATGATGGAGGGTGCCCCTTTCTGTAGGAGGACTTTCCTGAGGACACTTCTCCCCCTTTTTTAGAGGTGTCTCCAGGGGTGTGCTTCCAACTTTAATATTCTGTGAATCTATGAATTCCATTTAAATATAGAGTCGAGTCTGCATAAAACCAGAATATGAGCTATAGTTGGGCTCGGTAATCTGTGCCTTCTCCATTTTCCGTGCACAGCAGCTCTGCCTTCCAAAATCTTGCTTGCCTGTATTGTAGCAAAGGACACGAGCCAAGGACGGTGCTGCACACCTTTCCTTAGAAGCTCTGACCCATTCAGTCTGAGTCTCTTTTCAAGAGCTGGCAGGTCAGTGGTATTAATTGTACAGTGTGTATCTCTCGCTAGCAACAGGAGCAGAAAGAATCAGAGCTCTGTGCTTTTACCAGAGCAGTGTTACAACACTGCCTCCAGCTACTACTTCCAGCATGTGCCAACATTTTCTTTTTGGCCTGGAAGAAGAATGTCTTGCTCCAGGTGGCCCTCAAATAGATGAGGGAAATGTTTCAGTTAAAAAAAAAGTACCCAAAGCACCTCCCTGTCCTCCCTCCCTCCCCCTTCCTTTTGCCCATCATTTGATCTTTCCTAAGGCAGCCTGAATACAAGGAGTCTTTGCATTTGTCTCAGGAAGCTCATGAGAACAGATCCTCCCCATAAGATTTAGTGTTCACCAAGCAATGACAGATGAATAGCTTGGTGACAGCTGGACAGCTAGGTGGCACAGTGGATAGAGTGCTGATCCTGGAGTCAGGAAGACTCATCTTCCTGAGTTCAAATCTGGCCTCAGACACTTACTGGCTATGTGTCCCTGGGCAAGTCATGAGCCCTGTTTGCCTCAGTTTCCTCAGCTGTCAAATGAGCTGGAGAAGGAAATGGCAAACCACTCTAGTATCTTTGCCAAGAAAACTCCAAATGGGGTCACAAAAATTTGGATATGACTGAAAAAACAACTGAACAACAATGGGAGATGACAGAAGACTAAGAATGACAAGTTTGGTGGCATTCTGTCTCTGTAACTTTTAGACCCAATCAAAGCAGCTGATGCTGCTGAAAAAAAGAAAGAGTAAGGTCAGATAGACATTGATAGGAAGAAGCAACATTTGAGGAAATTGAATCTTTTATACTGATTGTGTCATGGATCAGAGGCAATACGGCATGATGGAGAACATGCAGGCGTGGGAGTCAGAAAGAAATGGATTCAAATTATCCCTCTGACACTTAATAATTATGTGACTAAAGGTCTCTGAGTCTCAGTTTCCTTGTCTGTAAAATGGGAATGATAATTCTTGTCACACCTACCTCATAGAGTTGCTGTGGGGCTCAAATGAGATAATATATGTAATAAAGTGCTTTGTAAACCCTTAAGGCACTGCATAAATGTTAGCTATTATTTTTATTACCATGAGAAGCAAAATGGTACAGAGGAAAGAATACTGGACTTGAAATGAGAAGATCCAGGTTTTAGTCTTGGCTCTGCCCCTTATGAGGTGGGTGACTTTGGAGAAGTGGCTTCTGTGTGCTTCAGCTCCTTCATTTGTTAATTGGCAGTAATTTTACTTTCATTCCTTGTCTTGCACAGTTATGAGATGCAAGAGAGAATGTTATTTAAAGGATCTTTAAACTGTAAATTTTGATTAGTAATGTTAGATCTCTGGGAAACATGATAGAAATTAGCCATTTCAGTCCCACTTTTCACAGATGAGGGAGCTAAGTCCCAGAGAGGTGACTTGCTCAAGGTCATAGAGCTTGTGGAAGAACTGACATTAGCTGTTGGCATTGGCTGATCTAAGGTTCTGATCCCCATTTTACAGATGAGGAAATTGAGGCAAACAAGGGTTGTGTCCAGGGTTACCCAGCTAGGAAGTGTTGGAGGCTGGCCTTGAACTCAGGTCTTCTTGATTCCAGGGCCAACCTTCTGTCCACTGTATCATGCTGCCTCTCTCTATTCAGTATTTTGTGAATAGTTACAAGTATAAGGACACTGACAATATTTTTGTTTTGTTTTTGTTTTTATTGAACATTTAGGTACAGATTGTCTGGCTAGTGGATGGGTGTGTGTGTGTGTGTGTGTGTGTGTGTGTGAGAGAGAGAGAGAGAGAGAGAGAGAGAGAGAGAGAGAGAGAGAGAGAGAGAGAGAGAGACATAATATTTTAAAAACCAACTTCATGGCTGTTCTGTGAAGACCCTAAGACAGCCAGGTGGTCATATGTTTTGTCTTGCTTTTTGTTTTTTTGTCAAGAAACACACGGAGTGGTAGAACAGTCAGTCATCTTTAAATAGAAAAAAATCAGTTTCCTCTTACTTTAGGGATTCTAATTCAGCGTAGGCAGGGCAGCAGAGAGGAGGCTATGATTGACAGAAGACCTCTTATGACATTGAGGTGGGTGTGGCCTCCTGCCTAGTGAAGGTTAATGTCTCACATCCTGCTTTTGTCCGATAGGTCATTGCTTGTGAGCAGCAGTACGACTACTCTTACGATGCTCGATGTGACGTCTGGTCCCTGGGGATCACGGCTATAGAGCTGGGGGATGGAGACCCACCCTTGTTTGACATGCATCCTGTGAAAACCCTCTTTAAGATTCCAAGGTACGGCACTAGATGGCTCTCTTGATTCATTAGTTTGATGTTTGGGGGGGAAAGAGTCTAGTTAGAAGGATGATAAATATTTCATAAACAATTTGCCACTGAATTCTAAGAAAGCTTCAGTGGAAAAATTATTATTTTTTTTAAGAAAGAGGAAAAATGGTCTTGTAAGAGAACCCACAAGGAATAATGACACCTTGTTGAAACAATTGCTTTCAATCCTTTCCTGATTTTCTTGGATGTTGATTTTCTCAGCTCCCCACAGAAGACTATAGATATAACTCCGGATAAAGGCATTCGTCTTTGCGTCTTTTATTTTTAAATCACATAATCATGCATTTCAATATTATTCAATCTGAATGTTATTTCAGTGTATTGGAGAAAGCATGGCAAAGAATGTGTGTGTGTGTGAGTGAGTGTGTGATAGATATTCCATCTTTTACTGAGTGAGTCCATCAGAAATGTCTTAGAGAGGCTTCTTACTCAGGTGTGAGTTGGATGAGACAGCCTTTGAGATCAGGTGGTCCTCCAAGTCTAACATTCTGTGAGCCTGTGATAACCTTCAATAATGATCTCAATGAGAGCAGAATCTATGGAGAAGAGTCATCTGTGGAGTGTGTTTAAATGTAAATGTATTTTATACCTGTCTTTATTTAATAAAGGGTTTGTACATGAGTCTGGATTACATAGCAAGTAGGATATTTATTTTATTGTTTATATCTGGTTTTTCTTCTGAATTGGACCTGCATCTGGGCAGCTTTAGGATTTTTAGTTACTGGAAAGAACTGGGGAAAGAACAATAAAAAGCTGCTATCTGAGGACTCTGTCCTAGGCTGGGTGCTGATTGACATATATTTACGTCTTCCACATTTCATTTACAAAGGAAGCCTGGGGGCTGGCTGATAGCAGTTTAAAGGCATTAACAATACAGGGGTTTGACCTTTCCTTATCTGCACAATCACATAGTTATCACAGGCTTTCAAAATTTCTCTTGATTGCAATTTGCATTTCTGATTAGGTCTATTTATATGCAGATGAGGCTCCCTAGCCTTCTGCGTCATAATGTTATCTACGTCTTCTACTTCCACTCAACCCAGATGGGAACATACAACCACTCTCTAGAAATGCTCTGGGCCTAAGCCTCTTTTTGCTTTTACAGAAGCATAGGACTGGTTCTGGCAATTAAAGGAGAGAGGGAAAATTGAGGTCTTCTAACAGAATGGCAGGTCCCTATAGGGCAGAAAGGTGCATGCCCCATTTTGTTAAAGTGAGGTGCAGAGCCATCAGAGGAGAAGTGTGGGTCACTCGATTCATCTTTTTGGAAATGGCCACAATGTTGGTATAGAGACAATATAACTTCCCCTGGTTCCCCAGTAGAATATAAATTCATTGAGGGTAGAGACTATTTCCTTTTTATCTTTACATCCTTACCACGCAGCACAGTGCCTAGCACATAGCAACCCCATAAATAATAGCTTCTTTTTTTTTTTTTTAAAGTGAGGCAATTGGGGTTAAGTGACTTGCCCAGAGAGTCACACAGCTAGGAAGTATTATGTGTCTGAGGCCGTATTTGAACTGAGGTCCTCCTGACTCCAGGGCCCGTGCTCTATCCACTGCGGCACCTAGCTGCGCCCCATAAATAGCTTCTTAAATCAATTGATAGGAGCAGCTAGGTGGCGCAGTGGATGGAGCACTGGCCCTGGAGTCAGGAGGACCTGAGTTCAAATCCGGTCTCAGACTAGACACTTTACTCTTGACCCTTACTAGCTGTGTGACCCTTTGCAAATCACTTAACCCTACTTGCCTTGCCAAAAAAAAAAATCAATTAATCAATGATTCATTCATTGACTAATTCAACTAATTCAATGACTAATTCAATAGATGTTTATTAAACCACTGCTATATGGAATACACTTTGTTACAAATTGGGCTTCCTTAGACCCTCCCATTGTCTAATAAACAAGCCACACTGTAAGTTACAGAATAGCTGATAAGCTGCATGGTGGGTAGAAGGAGTTTCCTCACTGGGGGACTCCTTATACCATTGAAATCATAGGTCTAGACACCCAACCCCCAAACTCCAAAAGTACATGGAAGGCTATGACATAAGCATTTTTGTTGTTTAGTTGTTTTCAGTCATGTCTTATTCTATGTGACCCCATTTGTTGGTTTTCTTGGCCAAGTTTTCTTTGCCATTTCTTTCTCCAGCTCATTTTACAGATGAAGGAACTGAGGCAAACAGGGTTAAGTGACTTGCCCAGAGTCACACAACTAGGAAGTGTCTGAGACCAGGTTTGAACTCAGGAAGATGAATCTTTAGGCCAGGCACTCAATCCATTATGCTATCTAGATGCCCATGATATAAACATAGATAGAAAGTAAATTAGAATGTAATAAATACCTGTCCTAGTGCACAGAGGGCTGGTCTAATGTTAGGAAGATCTGGGTTTAAGATCTCCCTTTGACACATACTGCTCATGTGACCATGAGAAAACCACTAATTCTCATGCTTTAGGTCACTCTCTAAGACAGTTCAGAAGAGTTGTGATTCTGTATTGGTGCAGGCAGTGTCCTACAGTGATGCAGACACAGATTTGGACTCCACCCTCCCAACCTGAAAATCACAGTTAAAGACAAATCAAAATGACCAATCAAAGACAATCAAAGAGGAGAGCAAAGTATTACAAAATTAAATGATGGAAAAATTACTTCCCCTTGGGGATACTTGTGGAGGAGGTGTCTCACAGAAGAGATGCATCTTAGCTTTATCTTGAAGGGTGCCACCAGGAGAGAGGATGTTGTTTGATATAGAAGGTGAGGAAGGGGAATGTCTTTCAGTTATATGTAACAGCCTTGAGAAACTAATTATTTTTGATTCAACAAGACAAAGCCGAGTTAGACAGTGGTTGTGTTATTTAGACTATTAAAAGACTTCCTCCTGGAGATCGAATTCTCTCTCTACTACACCTCTCTGTTTACACTCCTCCTTGTATTTGGGCAAACTTTCTCTTCCTTTGCAATTTCCTCACTCTCACTTCCCTAGTCTATGTCATCCAGAAAGATATCAATGGTTCTAGGGATAGGGAGTAGCTTGGTAAAGAGAAGCAGCTAGGTGGTACTAAAGCTCTGGACTTGGAGTCAGGAAGACCTGAGTTGAAATGTGACCTCAGATATATACTCATGGGTAGCCTTGGGCCAGTCACTTAAGCTCTCTCTGCCTCAATTTGTTTATCTGTAAAATGAGGACAATAGCACCTATCTCACAGATTTTTTTATGAGAATAAAATAATATTGGTTAAAGTATTTCACTTATCTTAATGCTAATTATTATTATTATAGCTGAAGTATGTTTTGGAGGGGGCAGGAAATTTGGTCTCACTTCTTTAGTCTAAGTTACAGTTTTATTTACAGAATCTTAGAATTAGAAGAGACCTAAGAGGCCATCTTATCTCACTCCGTACATGACCATGAATGTATAAAATACCTAATAGGTAGTCAACTAGCCTTTCTTTGAAGACCTCCAAAGAGAGGTCCTCACAAAGCTGACTTTCACTTTTGGACAGCTCTAATTACTGAGAATTTTTCCTTACATCTAACAGATTATGGGTCCATTGATTTCTTAATATATCAGTCCTGGCATCCCTTGAGCTTGGCCCAGTCCCATTACCATTTTCTTTAAAGGAGTCCAGTCAACAAGCACTAATTACACACCTTCTATGTGCCAGGTGCTGCTCCAAGCCTTGGACAGATCTTATAACCTTGGTAGAGCCTTATTTTTCACAAGATTACATAGCTAGTCAATGACAGAACTGAGACTGGAAGCCAAGTCTCCCTTAGTATAACCTTTGATTTTTTACCTCTGTTTAGTTCTTACATAGGTGCTGGCCAGGTCAATCAATCAACCTGATCAGTCAGTATTTATTGAGCACCTACTGTATGTGCCTAGCAATCTGTGAGGGGCAAGTAATTGTTAGCTCCAGACTTTTACAAGTCCACTTTGTATTTGGGAAAACAATATAAGTAGAAAGCTAATAAGCAGGTTCTTATGGTCCATCTCTAGTCACATAACTCCCACTACTGAATATCTGCAATCGCTAGTCAGGAAAGGCAAGCAAATGACCAACAAATCGAAACATTCAGTTGTGGATTCCCTTTAGAGCATTTGCCTGCATTACTTTTCTTTTCTTAAAATCAGGAAAAGTATACTGTGATCATTGTCACAAAATCACTGACCTGGTTGTGCTGGATCACCCTGGATCAGGCTAGTTGATACTGAGTGGTCAAGTGCTGGGGACACTGGCTTAGCAGGCCAACATATATTCTGTTTTCCAGCTCAGACAATGTTTCATTGCTTAGTCTCACTGTTCTCATGTTGCTCTCAGTAATGGACTTTTCACTTTATTTGCCACTGGCCATGCATAAGCTAGACCCTGAAGTATGTATTGCGCTATAGGCCAGCCATTTTTCTTCCTGGCAGTGGGGCTAGGGTCAGGCAGAATAATCCAGTAGATAAAATCAACATTTGGCTCACTGTTGCTTGCAAGTATGAGCAAAATAGTCCTTCATTAGTTGGTTTTTTAAGTCTGTTGGCCCTACTCTGTAAATATGTGCATATGATGTTGATTTTTGTGGCCAAAATTTTCTTCCATTCCCTAGGAAGGCTTTTTAGTGGAAAATGGAGAGATCTGCCATGATGCTTGACCATCCTGTTCTGTGGCAAAATAAAGCCCTAAACACCTCCTATATATGTGCCATTGACTCCCAATTATTTACATGAATAGACAAATCTAAATGGATAATCCTCTAACCATTTGTATTTGGCTTTAGAATATATATTTGCCAAGCTGTTTAAATATGACCTTGTTTAATATTCTGTAAATAAGCTACAAATCAAATAATGGAGCTTGTCTGTGACGACCTGATTAGAAAGGGGCTTCTGTTTAACTTTTGTTAATACATTCTGAGTTGGGAGTAGGCAAGAATTGCCCAGTACCAGCCTCCAG